ACTCCAACTCGTTCTCACCCCCCCCTTCTCCTCTGTGCAGGGAATGTTGATCAGAATCTGCTTTATTATTATGCAGTCTTCTTTCCTAGTCTTATTCCAGTCTCTCTATTGCTCGGTAAAATCGGTCTGCTCTACCCCTTGTTCACCTATTTCACTCAACTCGTCACCACATCTGTCCTACTCGAGGCGTTATTCTCTCTCACCTGCGTCCGGGTGACTAATTTGAGGCGCAAGCCTCTGAGTGTCATGGTCACCCCTTTGCTGCATGTACCACGCCTCTGGTACAACAGATCTACCGTCAGCCAACTAGCTCCGATCCCCGCCGTCTTTATCCTGTTTCAATCCCTAATACCAAGTCTATGATTTGCCGTGCCCTAGTCTCTTGTGTGTCAACCCACAAATGTTGTGGTACAGCTTGTTTTATAATGGTTCAATGTTGAACCATGACACTCAAAGGCTTGCGCCTCGAATTAGTAACCCGGACGCAGGTGAGGGCGAATAACGCCTCGAGTAGGACAGATGTGGTGACAGGAGTCAGGTGAAATAGCTGAACAAGGGCCAGAGCAGACGGATTTTACGGAGTAACAGAGACTGGGATAAGACTAGGAAAGAAGACTGCATAATAATAAAGCAGACTCTGATCAGCATTCTCTGCACAAGGATAAAGGAGGGGTGAGAACGAGTTGGAGCGTGAAGGCGTCATGTCGCTCAAAGGAGCACACCACACTATCTAAATAAACACGGTTAAAATTGGAATAGTGAAGGCATGATAGGATGCTACCGAAAAAGCGAATAACCCAGGGCAGAAGGGGAGATACCACAATTGTTTAGCACACGTTCGGTCAAAGGATCGGCTTCACTTGTCTCTTTGACGATTTGTTGTGTGATGCTGATGGCGATACTCATTGACGATGCCGACTACGATATAAGCGAAACGTTTGGGAATGTACCACGTCCACGGTTCAACTTTGGAAATGACCATGCAACCAATGGACTCCGGATTAGGTGCGTTCCTCTAAGTCTTCTTACCAATATGACCATGTTGCAAAACATGGTCAAACAACCTCTATACAACGAAAGGAGCTGCGAACACACAAAAGCCACACCATCTTGGTCTTCATACCTTCGATTAAAATTCACGGTGTTTTATGATTTGGGGTCTGCCCGAGTATCCTCCTAAAATATGCTCTAAAAGAAGGCATATAGATAAAATTACAATATCAAAGTGAATATTCCTTCGTTTAAATAGAAATATCACAAATTCGCATTTACAAAACATAGTGCTTTTAATGGACAATATAAAGTGACATTTAATGTGACAAAATATTAAAAATGTTTTACCACCGTTCCTCACATTCAACGTGTTCCCTAATAGATTAATTTCAATATCCTCTCTTACCTTCCTTTTAGCAGCAGACATATCGTAAGCAGCAAACCTAATAGGTTGAGACCATCATATCTCATGCCCTGTATTTGCCATGTGTTCAGCCACTTCTGACCGTTGAATCCAGCTTCCTTTACAAGTATTTTTGTGTTCCCCTAATCTTTATCGAATGGGCCTGCATGTATCACTAACATAAGACCGACCACAGGAGCACACAATCTTGCAGCACCTGGATCTCGATAATGGGTCATATTTCTTTCTAAAAGATGGCATAACCGAAGAGTGTGAGAGTTTATTTAAACTCTATTTTTATCCACCTCTTTCCCACTAGTTCTCTCTTTTTTTGAGAGAAGGTTTTATGTTGGATCAGAAATGCAAGCCGTTCGACTAAGACTATGGGAAAAAATGCTTGTAAATGGAGCTGGATCTAATGGTCAGAAGTGGCCGAGCACATGGCAGAGACAGAGTATGAGATATAATGGTCTCAAACTAGAAAGGATATGTCTGTTGTTAAAAGGAAGATAAGAGAAGCTATTTAAATCAATATATTAGGGGACACGTTGAATGTGAGGAACAATAGTAGAAAGTTGAATAAGAACTGCTTATACTTAATTGATATATTAAGAGAGAAAGAGAGTTGAGCCGCCCCCCATAAG